TGTCATGCACACAGGCAAGAACATACAGGTTCATAGAAACCAAATGATCTGTGCCCCACACTTAGTGCTGCCAGTGGTGGAGAGCAACACAGTACAATTACATAATTCTATAGTACATGGTCTTTACTTTACTGTATTTCACCCAAGATATATAGTGCATCCACAATGTTGAATATAAGCTTCACGTGACGGCAGATCTGGTCCAGTGTGAGTTATATTTCTGAATCAAACGATGAACTGATGTTTTGGGTTTGAGGAGACTTCTTGTGTTAAAATCTACTTATTTATATAAATAGTTATCACCGCAATAAACCGTATTTAATTTTGTCTTAATGAACATTATTTAATTTCATATTCTGTTCTTGTACATATCATATTCTATTTACATGTATAGAGGCTTCTTGCACTATTGTTGTATTTGATTATATATGTTGCATTGTTGGAGGAGCTCAGGTCAGAAGAATTTCATTGCCATTTCTACTCTGTAGTTTATGAGCATATGACAATAAAACCTTTGGATCTTGAATCTGATATTCAGCAGATTCTGCACGTGAAGATGTGTAAAAAGTTGTGGTTATAATTCAGTGATAGTAACTCTTGCTTCTCGTCTCAGATCGTTTCAATACTCATCAGCTGAGGTTACCGTGTGACTGCCAGGTGGCCAGCTTCTCATACAAGCAGGTGAGCTGGCAAATATGCATGTGGGAATATTTAGATCCCATTTGGATGGATGACAATATCCTGTATCTGGTGTGGAATACATACGGTTATATTTTAATTTATAATATCTATTTTTTTCTCCTTTCAGTTCATGAAATCAGCCATAATCTGAGGGTCACATGGAAGCTGAATGGATTAAAGCACAGATGTTAAGAGCTGTCATTTTATTTCCTCCATTCACAAATCTTCTCTCTTCAAGGAGATATTAAACACTGAGAATAAGTTGTTGAGAGTTCAAGATTTTCTTATCAATGTCTGAAGTTTGTGTTTTTGGTTAACATGTGAATTCTGTACAATGACTTCCCACTTACAATAAAAGGTAATTGGTTAAAATATTCTTTATTTCTGTTGGCAGTTTATATAGAGACATCTTAAAAAGTACAATTATGAGTGAACAGAAGTGAAAAACAACAATTCAAATAAATCCCAGCAGACCGCAGCAAAGTAGCTAAGCTTTATAAAATGAACGTAATAAGAATAATATTTTTTTCTGTCTTAGGTGTGATTTACTGCGATTGGTGAGTTAGATCTTGTTATTGTGTGACTATGGTGTTTTAAAGGGTTATTCAGATTCAATGAAATCACACAAAAACACCAACAAACAAACCCAATCAGGGCACCAGCGGACAAGCAACTTGTGCGAGGTCAAATGAGGAGTCTAGTGGCTTTCAGGGTTCTTACACCTTTTCCAAAGTCAAATTCAAGCACTTTTCAAGCATTTTCAAGGTGCATTTTCAAACTTTTCAAGCATCTTACAGCTGTTGTAAATTACATATTTATATACACATACTTATACTCAAATGATTATTTCCCTACCTCACATTAAATCAGATGTTCTTTATGCTATAAACAACCAAACGTGTGTTTCATAATAGCATTCTACACGAGGATGAAAAATTAAAGAAAATAAAACTAAGTTTAAAAGTAGATCTGTAAGGCATCATCATATCATATATATTATTCTGAAATGGACCAATCTGCACAATGACTACTTTTACTGTCGCTACTTTAACTATATTTTGATGAGAATACTTTTCTACTTTTACTTGAGGAACATTTTGATCGAGGGACTTATTCTTGTAACAGAGTATCCCTACACTCTGGTACTTCTACTTTTACTCAAGTACAATATCTGAGTACTTATTCCACCTCTGGTAGCGTATTAGCCTGAATTGTAGCCACAAAATCAGGCAGACCTGCATAAAAATAGACAATGGTAACAAGTGGAAAATAATATTTACAAATGTGTACAATGATTTGTAGGTCATGTTGACTACTCAAGACACCTGACTTATACATCTTCAAAGGAAGATTGTGTTCATTCTACAATTACATGGGATTAAAGCAAAATGTAGTTTTCCTTGTATAATACTTCAAGATTTTATAATCCTCAGTTTATAATTTATAACAACATACTAACAAGCTAAGGTCTAATTACGCAACCAAGTCTCACGGCATTTCGTGTTATAGTCACGAAATAAATGTAATCTATTGATTCGTGTTCACCAACATGATTTTCGTGTCACACAGAACGATTATAAAAGCAATGTATTTCTATTGGTAGTATGTTTCGTGCCTGCGTCTTTTTGTCCGGAAGCTGTGTGGTTCATAAAAACATGTTCTTACCTTTATATATACAGTCGTTGGTTCTTACTCAATATCAAGCCACGATTATTGTCTTTATTTTAAATCGGATAATGTAGTTTTTTTTTGCCGTCTGTGAGGAAAAGAAATGGCTCAGAGCCTCAGAATACTGAAATCTGTATATATTTTTTTCCTTCTAATTTGTTATTATTTGTGACCCGCTCTATCGAAATCAGTCAAAAGTCGCAACGGCTCATTTAAAAAATAAACGTGGATTTCTGTAAAAAAACTAGTTTTTCAGGGTTCGGGTGTTTTGTTTGATTTTAAATAAACAAAGTCTTGGCTTTCAGAATATGAAACTGTTATTGCCAAAATCTCATGATAAATACCTTTTTGAAGCTTGTAAAGGGAAGAAGAGGCACCTCTCAACCCGCACCCTGCTCTTGCTCCCTCCGCTGAAATTATGAATGTATAGTAATCACACAGAGGCGTGTGGCGCAGTGGATAGAGCCTTGGTGTTGGGATCAGGGGGTCACGGGTTCAAATCCCTCTGCAGTCAGCATGTCGTTGTGTCCCTGAGACACTTCACCCCAAATTGCTCCTGTGGGGATTGTCCACAGTATTGAGTATTGTAAGAGTCGGGAGTCATCTGATCATTTATTCCGGCAAATTATTCAGACCTCCTAATTGACCTAACCGAAGTTATTGAGTCTATGTAAGTTTACGGCTTGGCTCAGATCCACCAACGTCAGCAAGATCTCACCTCTATTAACTCCCCGAAGAACCAGGTTCAATTCACTGCTGTTTCAATTCAGACGACCCCCTAAATCTGTTTAAGCGATCCCGAAGGATTTTGATATCAGTAAATGAGGTGTGGCCCTACCTAAGTGTGAGTGAGGCAGTGTGCAATCTTACCTTTCAAGCAGGAGAGGAGAGCGCAGTTGTCTTTTAAGTTGTCCCAATCCAAAAGGTGGGATCAGTTTATTTGAAGAAAAATAGGTCCAAACTAATACAGGGTTTTTACCTTCTCTCGTTACATTACAATCATATAAAACATATCATGCTGTGGTCATGTTCTAATATGAAAACTTTAATTCACAGTTTTACATTTATTTCCATCATTTGTAACTTCAACAGCACAATTCAGTTGTGACATTTAAAATCTCCCGATAGAATTTCGAGGCATCTCCTCATAAAAGACCGGTGATAATAAAAAGCACATTCAAACTTTCATTCAACAAATCAGTTCATTTTCTCATTTCCACAACAAACATCAATTCATTCCACAATTCACATTCGTATACTTCAACTAGTCCCGCATGAACTTAGAGGACCTTCCTCATGTCACACGTAACAAAAACACTTGCTGGTTACACACATGTTTTATGTAAAAGCGAAGCAATTAAGCGCGCTCAGACTTCTTTATTTTCTTTTAATCTGTGTTCTTACACCTTTTCCAAAATCAAATTCAAGCACTTTTCAAGCATTTTCAACAACTTTCAACAAACATCAATTCATTCCACAATTCACATTCGTATACTTCAACTAGTCCCGCATGAACTCAAGAGGATCTTTCCTCATAGGTGGCAGGGTACTAACTTTCAACAAACATCAATTCATTCCACATCCTTTCACAAAGAAATTCACTCAGCGTTCAACAATCGCTCTGTGTCGAATCAATAGATTATATTTCGTGACACCACAGGATGGCGACTGTAACGCACATATTAACATAGGTACGCTCCTCTGAAATTATTATTATCCCTCATCGAGTTCGCTATTCAGCTTGCTAACGTTAGCTTAAACAAACGTAACATGCAACGTTAGCCTAATCCAAAACGCTCTACTACGGCGTACCTTTCAGGTACCTACCAGGTCACACGTAACAAAAACACTTGCTGGTTACGCACATGTTTTATGTAAAAGCGAAGCAATTAAGCGCGCTCACACTTCTTTATTTTCTTTTAATCTGTGTTCTTACACCTTTTCCAAAATCAAATTCAAGCATTTTCAAGGTGCATTTTCAAGCTTTTCAAGCATCTTACAGCTGTTGTAAATTACATATTTATAAAACGGACAAGTCAAATCAAGCAATCTGATTGGTTCTTAGCCGTGATATACTGAGCGTATACCACGGGTAGAATTGTAAGTTACTTTTCACAACAAGTCAGTATCCCTCCGCGTCTGAGATAAACAGTATACAGTTGGGCAGAAAAGCAAACTGCCTGCAATTTTTCAAACTGCAAGCAGTTTCCAGCTTTTCAAACTGGAACAAGAGAGCAGCGGAGAAGTAACGGGGCAGAAACCCTCCTTTTTACGCAGCGGTCCAGACATAGACATCAAAAACATATTCAGTGTGCAGTTCCTTTGGCATTAGGGCAGGGATATCTAGATACTTTCCAAGGTTTGACATCATGAATTGTGCTACTTTTAAAGCGAGCAACGATGTTTTCAAATCTGTAATCAAAAAGGTCCGCAAAAACATTTAACACCAGGAGTGGATTGAGGAGTGCGAGTGCCTATCTCCAGAACAAAAAGCACCTAAACAACGACATGTAGAGCTACGTGAAGAGCAGGTAGTAGACCAACTGAAAAAGTATCACCATTCAAAAGCTTTCTTGAAACAAAGCAGAGAAATTATGACCGTTAGTGGCCACAGGTGCGAAAGCTCTCTCCAGAGCTACTGGGGTTGCTTCGCGTCGGGCCGAACCACGCCCCTTAACTGTGATATAATGGCCATATACCACGGCCTGTCGTGAGCTATTGCTTAATTATATACACATACTTATACTCAAATGATTATTTCCCTACCTCCCATTAAATCAGATGTTCTTTATGCTATAAACAACCGCAAAGACGCGGAGGAGCCATCTCTGCTTAATCATCGGGGCAGCGCAGCATCCACTGCTATGGAGGCTAAGGGCCTTTTCACGTAGAGATAGCAGGTAAGCCCTGATCCTTACGGCTTCTCCGCCCCGCTTTCCCCTTCGTCTTGGGCGCTTCCTCTGGGGGATGGCATATACCTGGCGGCGCAGGTATGCTTGAAAAAAGTGGAGGAGGAGGATTCGAGGTTGGCTCTCCTAAACATTGCTCTAATACCCCCTCCTGAAACGCTTTGATTTCCATAAGCGACTGGCGGTCATAAACTAGTAGAGCAGAGACATTCTGACAAAAAACACAAAACAATAAAACTACTAGAACTAATAAAAGGCTGAACAGGGCTGGGATATGTCTCGCCGTGCCACTGCTGGCGCCATCTTTGCTTCAGGTCTAAAAAGACCATGGAGTTTAATCTAAAAAGCGAAGTAAAGCATTTACAATTTCAGGCACTTTATCCCAAATTCAAGCACCATTGCCAAAATTCCAGCACTTTTCAAACCTTGAAAACACCACATAACATTTCAAGCATTTTCAAGGATTTCCAGCACCCGTGGGAACCCTGAAGAGAGCATGGATAACGGCTTCAGATCCCCGTCTGAAAGGGCTCTGACGGAAATGGAAAGCAATACAAATTCTGAATATAGCTTTAAATCCCTTAAACTAGCTGCCTTTATAGAGACAGGTGTACACATTTATTAAGATGTATTTACTTATGAACTAAAAGTCACATTAGCTAACAACTGTAACCTGTAACAATCATTTTCGCTGCTACCACTGAAGTTCACTGCTCTGCTTCTGTGAGGCGACTCCCCTTGATTATGTCATCTACTGCCTGAATAGGAACCTCAACACAACACTACTAGAACACACCGAGACCATGGAGTCCAGGTCTCTCCAGGTCCGTCCAGGGTCCTGCATCTATCCCTGGATCTCTGGAGAACAAACACAATCAGTAAGTGATGAACAATGCAAGTGTTGTAATGCACGTTACCACATTAACTTGTAGATGTATAGAGTTATATCCCATCTAAGATAATACATAGAATCTTGCAGTTTGAAAGTGTAATGGAAATGATGATGAAGAGTTATTAAAGCTACAGGGAAATCCATGGAGCCGTCGCTCTTCATGAGCACACAGCTCGGTGCAGGAGAATCCAAAGGGAAAGGAAGAAAACCTGGACTAATAGAGTCTGATATGGATCATCTAAAGATAAAGGAGCATTACATTTAAATAAAGAATAAGGACGAGGATAGTTACACTCTGAAGACAGTTCAGCTCAAAAGGTTCTGTTGACCTACATAGACATTGACTCTTACCGTTAGAAAGAAAAAGGGAAATCCATGGAGCGGTCACTTTTTCTGGACACAAAGCTCGGTGCAGGAGAACCTGCTCTTATCTTCTCAGCACTGAAGTCAATGCTGCGATGACTGACAGGGAGAAATGTTAGGAGTTTATATATTTGTACTTAAAGAAACCCTCAATGAGCCTTTTAGGTCTTTGGCCTCTCATTGCATATTCTTCTATTACTGGTTTTAATTTGTGAACATTATTTATTTATTTGATCAATAAATCAATGAAACAGCACCAAAATATACAGATTAAAATCCAGCCTTTGAATGTAAACTGGACTTGGATTATTTAAAGAGAGAATTACAAGTTGATTAATAAATTACTTGTTATATTCCATTTCCTAATTCTTGTTTTTTTAAAGACCAAATCTTCATTTTGAAAGTCAAAATTGAATGTAAAAGTATTCCTGTTTAATAAAGTAGAAAAACAATTCATTCAGGTTTCCCTGATAACAATCAGGAGAAGTGAATACCTGGGGAAGAAAGGAAGAAGGGACCAGAGCTTCTCCCTATAAGAGGAGAAGAAATAATGACAGAAGTTATTTTATTCCTACAGTTCCTCTTCTTTCTTGTGGTATTTCTTAATTAAACATCAATGAAAACGTGTTATTATCCCAGTGTGTTGACTTCACTCTGCTTTCATCAGCATGTCCAATCTGCCCACTGATAACACATAGAAACCAGATACATGTGTTGATGAAGCTTAGTATATATATTCAACCTTTACTCTATATGTACTTTCACCTGTTAAAGTTCAGAGTTTATCTTGTGTCATTTTAGTTTGTTATGATTCATACTATCACTACATGTTTATCTGTATTCTATATATTTCCATAATATAAAGAAAAATCACATTTCATTTAAAGAAGAAATAAGGACTAGGCAAATAGATATAAATCAACAATGCAGGAAAAGTAAAGTAGTGTTAAATTATATAGTTTTACTCTCAAGACAATTCAGATCAAAAGGTTCTGTTGACCTTCATATACATGGACTCTTACCGTCTGAGAGCCAAGCGTTCTTCCTTTAACTCCTTCTCCCTGATCTCAGGTCTCTTTGCAGGAGGATCTTCTCTCTCCTCCTCAGCCCTGCAGAGATGGAGCGTTGACAGACAGGTGGAAGGTTCAGGAGCTTACTGACTAAAACATGGTGTTACAAATGTCCTCCCATAGCAAAACATGTTTGACAAAGGAGGTCAGCTGGACTAGTGTTTCTCAAATGGGGGTGTGTGTACCCATCGGAGCACTTTGGAGTACTCTGGAGGGGCTGAGAGATTAAAGAAGAAGTTACATTACATGATTCTTAGTTATTTATGATTTTCAAACTTATCAAAACCTTAAAAACATATTTATTCAATATTCCTGTTTCTAATGCAGTCATTAACACTGCTCTAGAACAAAGGCATTGCCTTCAGGATAAGGTTTGTTCAGCTAGTTTCAATGTTGAATATTGATGTGATGTTGAAACTAGCAGCACTTTGCCATGAATGGAGTTATGGCAGGCTTCCTTTTTTTATTACCATGTTCTTTTTTAGTGAAGGAGGCGCTGATAGCACAGCACTGTGTTTCACCTTTTTCATTTGGGTTATTCAAATCAAAATGTCATGAGGTTTATAACCATGAACATGAAAAGGTCTTCATCTCACCTCTTTTTTGACCCAACTCCACCCATGGTGAAAGGGATGGTCGAGGAACTACAGAATAAAATACAAACACAAATCTTGCAGTCAAATTAAAATTGTATTGAAGAAGTATTCAGATTCCTTTTTGAATACATCATTGTATTTAAAGAGACGCTCAATGAGCCTTTTAGGTGTTTGGCCTCACATTGCATATTCTGCTATCACTTGTTTTACATTTTGAACATAATTTTTTTATGTGCTATTAATAAAACATCTCAATCAATGAAATAGCACCAAAATATACAGATTAAAATCCAGCCTTTGAATGTAAACTGGACTTGGATTATTTAAAGAGGGAATTACAAGTTGATTAATAAATTACTTGTTATATTCCATTTCCTAATTCTTGTTTTTTTAAAGACCAAATCTTCTTTTTGAAAGTCAAAACTGAATGTAAAAGTATTCCTGTTTAATAAAGTAGAAAAACAACTCATTCAGGTTTCCCTGATAACAATCAGGAGAAGTGAATACCTGCTGGAGATGATAGATGTACGAACACTGACCGAGAAGAGCAGCCTGTAAGAGGAGAAGAAATAATGACAGAAGTTATTTTATTCCTACAATTCTTCCCCTTTCTTTGTTAAAAGTAAAGAACTGGAATACAAAATGCAAGTAGATGTACTGCCATTAAAATATGTATATTTGACTCTGTGTTAAATACTCATTATGTAGAATGATTTCATTTCAGAACAATGTGTATTTCACAATTTGATTATACTTAATGACACATTAATGTGTTAATCATGTTTAATATAGTAGCTGTTGAAAATACATTTAATTTCAGCTCATTTATTAACTGTTTTTTATTAATTGATTGTTTTGTATCATAATGTATATTTTGTTGATTAATCGTAATATCATTAAATAAGTCAAGTGGATTAAATGTTCATTAATTCCCCCCTAAATGTAAGGCAGTAGACCTGAAGTAGCAGAAAATAAAAGTTAAATGCTTTAAAATTGTCCTGAATTACATTACATTTGTGTATTTCTTGTTAACTTAAATAATGTTTGATTAAATATGACAAGAGTTTCCTGTAATCGGAAATAACACATTAGTCGTATTAACAAAATGTCCGACAAAGATAAACAACATCTTTGATAGTAACAGTACTAACTGTAATTCAGCTTCGGTTGTTGTAACAATGTACAGCAACACAAAAACATCTCGACCAACCGTCACATTAACGGTTTATAAAGCCGTTAAAAAAAGTTTTCTAGAACAATGACGAAGTTTGTGCTAAGCTAACTGAGGCCAAGCTAGCATACACAGTTAAAGACATTTATAAACTAGATAGCATTCGAGGTAACGTTACAGCACGAGTAGTATTACATATATACATATTTAATATGTAGTGAGACTGAATCAAAGTGTTCAATAATATACGTTTATATGTCGATGGTTAAATCCGCAGTTCAGCTTACCTTTAGTGCGCACTGCGCAGCAGTTATTTGTGAAAGTGAAACTCAACATGACTCAAAACATAACAAGGAGATGTGACACGTCAGTTGGAGGTTGGTTGTATAGAAAACACACGGATTACAGGGAGTCAGACATTAATAAAATGCGTTTCTGAAATCAATTTTAAATTAAAACCTCACTGTAAGAATATCAGTCTTCTTATGGACCATTCAGGCGGATATAATTGATTTTCAGGCGGGTATAAAGTAACAAATACAGATGTTATTTGACACGAGAGATCTCAAAACTCTTCCGCCTGGTCCCGCCCAGTACTGTGCTGTGATTGGCTCGTTGCGTCTATGCGCTGATTTGATTGGATGCTTCTTTTTTTTACCAGCTTTCGGTGCACATATATTAAGGACTTTGACACCATTCATTGTTGCTCTCGATCTAGACTGTATATATAAAGGCTCTCGATATGTGTAACAGGTATGTGAAAGAACAGTGCTGGACAATTACACATAGGCATTACTTGAGTAAAAGAACAGAGTATAATAAGCAAACAACACGTTCTTTACAATCTACAATCGTAAATGAAGTATATAAAAGTGTATATAGAGGTTTTTTTACTAAATGTAAGAGATACCAGATAAATACATTTTTATAGCTTTTATGAGTTTTCTTGTCTTTCTGTAAGTCTCTACTGAAAAAGCTGATTATATGTCTAAGTAATAATCCCTTGTAGCGCAGGCTCCAAATATCTGCCTATAGAGAATGTGTTTGTGTGTTGTTGTTGTTGTTGTTGGTAAGGGATTTTATTTAAAAGTTGAATAGTTATATTATAAAACATGATCATTATCCGCCCTTGTTATGTCCAGTAATGTGTATTTAGAGTGTATAACTGACCTACTTTCTTTTATCTACAGGTGTAATTTCACAGTTTCACTTTTACTTGTGCCTGTGTAAAATATTCTAGTACTTTTCCATGATGTGTGAAGCCAGATGAAGCTGTGTGCTTAGGAATTCAGATGATAGACGAGACAGTTTTCTTTTTCAAAATACAATACAATACAACTTTATTTGTAGTGCACTTTAAAACCTCCAGACCAAAGCGCTGTTCAGAGAAATAAAGAAACAAATGAAATACAGAGATCACACAGCTCAGCTCACAAGCCATAGAGAGGCGAAGTCCCTCCCTTTCCGGGGGACCTCCATGGGACGTTCATTCGGAAAAATTATGTATTGAAGTCAATGGAGAGAGAAAAGTTATCTTTCGATCCCGTTTTAATTGTGCCATGAATTACACATATGATGTTTGTCAATTTAAAAGATAATTTCCATGAAAAATATGCAACTAGAAAGACTACAAATCCGGCCATCTTGGTGTTGGTGACGTGTGTTGTGCGAGACCAGAGATGTTCATTGAGCGGTTTCACACAAACAAAAGTCTTACTTCACAGTTTTACGACATATTTTCAATTTTTTTGACTTGCAAAATTATCTTTTAAATTGACAAACAACATATGTGTAATTCGTGGCACAATTCAAACGGGATCGAAAGAATAGATTTATATTGTGCAATTTCCCAAACTCTCATTAGTTTCTCATACAGCATCTCTGTATAGTATGTGTATTCACTCTCTGTCCTAAACGGCTTGTTGGAGCTCCTGCCCCCCCCCTCCCTATGAGCCCAGTGGCCGTCTGCGAGACAGCGAGACACAGTGACACCCAGCCCGAAACCAGCCCGGACACACACACACACCCGCAGCCTGGCTGGGAGTTTGTGTGTGTGCTCACACACCGACTCACAGCCTCGCCGCGTCCCGCCGTCTCAGGGAGGAGAAATCGGCGGAGCTGCAGCTGAGAAAAGATTGAGTGTGTGTGTGTTAACGTAACGGCTCCGCGGACGTAACCTAACGGCTCCACGGATTGGTCCATTTGGACCAATGGGTCCATTTGGGTATGGGCACGTCACTGTACCCAGGAAGAAAAAGAGAAATCCCCAACGAGGCGTTCTGGGGCAGCATAGACAGGTCTTTTCTGTGTTAGTTTTACTCGCTACAGGGTGTACTTTGAGGGTTTGTGACTCTGCAGAACGTTTACATGCAGAAAAAGCTTCATAACACAAGGGGACGGGTAATAACCGGAAAAGCATGACATGGGACCTTTAAGAGCAGTCATTTTATTTCCTACAGTACATTCACAAATCTTCACTTTTCAAATACATAAACATTAAACACTGAGAATAAGTTGTTGAGAGTTCAAGGTTTCCCTTATCAATGTCTGAAGTCTATTTCTTTCAGTTTGTGTTTTTTGGATAACTTTGTTAAATTGGTATAATTGGTACTTCCCACTAAAAAGGTAAAGAGGAATCTGGTGAAATTACATGAGTGAACAGAAGTGAAAACATATTACAACAATTAACAAAAATATCACATATTTAACAATGCATTTGGTCAAAGAAGTGGATTGTTTTTACAATTTCAGATTTTGAAACTCCTGATCTATTGTGTTACTATTACAATTAAAGGTGGGGTAGGTAATTCACTTCAGAAACACTTGTTATATTCCATGGAATGCTCTTAACATCCCGATAGCAATGAATATATTAAATGCTTTGACAACAAATCCATAAAAAAATGTCATCTGTGGAAGCCGTAGTACTGTAAAAAGCACGACCAATCATTTGAGCCGGCCCGGCTAAAATAACTGGATGGCCTACCTGCCTGTCAGCCTTCCATCTGTGCACAAACTTATCTCGTGCCCTCATTGGTCATGTGCGCGTTCGTGTGTGTTGGAGGAGGGGCTCTATAAGGAAGTCTGAAGGAAGGGGCAGACTTCTTCCGGATGTGTACTTTCAAATTCTAGCGCACTCGAGCTGGTTTCTCCATTCTTACCTACCCTACCTTTAAAAGTATAAATGAAACAGAGTACAGAGACAACTAAATGGTTCATTAAAATGTACATCAAGTCAAAGGCAAAGTCTACTTTATTGTCAATCTCAAAATATATTTGTACACACAGAAAGATCGAAATACTCTTTCACAGGTATACGAAAAAAACACATTGAAATGCAAGAACACTCAATATTTACAAAAAAACACAAAATAACCAATCCAATCAACAGGTTAACTGAAAATATAATTCATAAACTGGTAAGTAATATCTATTCATCACATACTTTTCAAACAGTGGAACTTATTATCCAATATATGAGTTCATAAAGTACACAGATCAGTGTTGGAAAAGTTACCAAGTACATTGAGTTAAGTACTATTAAGAGGTACTTGTACTTCACTTGAGTATTTTCATTTTATGCTACCATATATTTATATTCCACTAAAACTTGGGAGCAAATATTGTACTCTTTACTAATTTACATTTATTTGACGGTTACATATTTCTTTGCAGGTTAATATTGTTAATACAAATGTTAAATGAACTGATGAATTATAATGTACTATAATGGGAGACCTAAACTAAGATACTTATAATAATAATACATTGGATTTGTTTAGCGCTTTTCCTAATGCTCAAAGACACTTTACATCAAATCAGAAACAGTACAAAGAGTATAAGTCATTAAAGTCAGCTTTACCAGTTAATAAATATATATGTCAGATTAATGGATCAATACCTGGAAAGTGCTAAATGAGGAGGTTACGTGATATTTCATGACATATATCCACTGCATGACCTTATAGGTGCTGTTACGCCCGACTCATAGGCTGCAACAAAGATGGGAGACCAGACAAGTTAAGTGCAACAAAAAGCATATTTATTTACTATAACCAAAACCAAAGGTCTTCAAAGAAACCTAATAAACGTGAGTCAGTCATCAGTAATGATTGTGTGTCCGGGTGTGTGAAAATGTGCAGAAACAAAGACGCGGCCGTGTCCAACAGAAGAGTGAGAGGGCAGTATGGGTTGGTGTTGGCCTTTTAAGTAGACGGCCCAGGAAGGTTTCTCATTTCTCTATTTCCCCTCCTCGACTCCTATCCTCGACTCCTATCCTCGTGTCTTAGGCCACATTTACACGAGAACGAAACGGCTTGTATCTGCATAGTTTCTCTTGCGTATAGCCCCATTATTTACACAAGGCCGTAACAAACGGACCCCACAAACGATAACGGGTCCCAAGGTGGATAGATTTGCAAACGAAACTCTCTGGGGGGTCAACCAAGTCCGTGTAATCACCTCAATACGAATATTTCCTGAAAAAATAACGATAGCCCCACCTCTCCTGCTCACTGCTGTAGCATGGCCAGTAGCTACTGCTAGTGCTACTGCTACTGACCATGCTACAGATGTTAGTGCAAAATCTACAGCTCCTCTACCACAACCATCAGCAACAAGTGGACATGGAGAATTACATGAACTACATGTTGCTAAATCCACCGCGGGGCTTAAACAGAAGGGTAGCCATGGCAACATTGCTGCGGGGCTGCTCCGGGGTCTTCTTCACTGCTTTTGGTGTATTTTGGCGGAAGTTACAGTGCCACTTACAGGCCCGGCATATGTACTACAGCGTTTCCAGCGGTCTCGTGTGAACAGACACGTTAAATGAAACGAATGCATGTGAACGGAAGACTTTTTTGAAAGCGCATACTGTGCATAAACGCAAACGTTCCCATGTAAAAGCAGTCTTAGTCCCGCCCACAGGAGATGCGAGCGGAGGAGTCGAGGAGGGGAAATTAGAGAAATGAGAAACCTTCCAGGTGTGGCTCGTCAGGTTGATCACCTGAATGACAAACAAGAGCCAGCCAGCAGAACACAAAGGCAGAGACCCCTAGTGGAGTGGAGGGGGTCGTAACAGTGCCCAGTGGATTATGGTAGACTGAGGACTAGGGCTGGTGATACAATGATACCATGAATGAATACAGATGTGTAGTAACGTAATGAATTGGAAGAGCTGGAGTGTAATATATTGTTTAAAACAATAATAATATTTGCAGCCACTACAACAAAGAGCTTATATACAAACTGTCACAAACGAGCTGAGGACCAAAATGCAAAACACGGGGAAACCAGGGATAGTCTGTAACC